TTGCCTGTGTGATGTGAATGAACAGTATAGTACAGGGAGGCGGGAGGGGGATAGGAGAGGAAGAGGATGCCAATACACGATGAACTAACCAGCTGTGTTTATCTCCAGATAAAGATGTAGGAAATAGACACAGAAAAACAGGTCCACAAATCCAGAGATGTGATTCTATTTCTCTGGGACTGACGGGGGAGCAAGAGGAGGGGGAGAGAAAACCCACTCCCTGTTGGGTTTGAAGGCTTGCTTTGGAGAGAAAGACCTGCCTTCTGCAGCTGACTCCGAATGCTTGTCTGTTGGTCTTAGAAACAGGCGGTGAGCTGAGAGACCACTGAAATTACTACTTGTTACTTTACTGAAGGTATAAAATGTTACCATCTTAACACCCCTGTTGAAAGTGTAAAATCATTTGTATTTCTATTATAAACCTTATCACAGACTGGACCCAACCTACCTGATTCAAATTTAGGCTCCACTACTTACTAGCTTTTTAAGTAGACAAATTACTTAATATTTCTGCCTCAGTCCTGAAATGAAAATAGGGATAATTATATGTAATTAACATAGTAACAGTTTAATGGAAACTAAAGAGATACATGGTAATAGAGATTAGGAAAAGCAATATATCTCTTCATTTAATGGGTACTAAAGAAAGGATTCTGGGAAAATTCTGGCCCTGGTTTTGTGTGGGGAAAGAGGGAACTTAAGCTTATGAGTAAGGAGTGTGATTTGGGGAGCATTTTCTGCATCTGTTCATAAACATTACAAAATGCTTGCTTTAATCGGAAATCCCACTTTGGCTGCCCTAAGGACAGATCTCTTTAGTTTGGCTCATAATTGAAGGCCAACACTTCATACTCTAGAGAGCAGTGAAATTCCCAGGTTTCCATCCTTTTTCTTTCTTCCTCAAAATTAGGAGAGCTGGCGGTCCTTGGCCTACAGTGACATGGAGAAAGCACCTGATTCACCTTTACATAGGGAAGGTGTTCTGTTTGCATGACCCCCAGTGTGGTCTCTCTAACAGGAGTCCAAGTGGCACTCACCGTTTATTGTGCTTGCACCTCTTAAAAAAACTTTTTTTTAGATATATTTTTATTGTTTTCAGAAAGGAAGGGTTTTTTTTAATTAATTTCAGTGAGGAAGGAAGAGGGAGAGAGAGAGAAACATCAATGATGAGCGAGAATTATTGATTTTCTGCCTCCTGCATGCTCCCTACTAGGGATGGAGCCTGTAACCTGGTCATGTGCCCTGACCTGGAATAGAATCCTGACCTCCTGTTTCATAGGTCGATGCTCAACCATTGAGCCGTACCGGCTTGGCACAACAATGGTTTTTCTTGTGCCTAAACACTGCATTACCTGCCTGGACTCTAAATATTTGAGACTAAAGAATGTCTCTATTTCCTGTTTGGTTTTTAACCCTCCTTATCGCTTTGTTACTCTTCTCGATTTCAGTAGCTGTTAGAGCTGTGTGGTAGGAGATGTAGAAATGAATAAAGCAAAACTAAGAATGGAAACTACTGAGACTGACATTTTTGCTTAAGGCACTGAAATACTGTATTAAAATATGTCAAGGAGGTATGTTGTTTGACTCTTTAAAACAATGAATATACAAAAACCATTTTTAAACCCTGTAACTTCCTTTTCCAAAATATATTTTAACTTCCCAAAATACGATAAGTTTTAAAAACTGCAAGCTTTACGTGTTTATTATAGTTTTCCTTCCTGCCTCTGAAGTCCTATGAGACGTTTTCTGGAAGTGAATGGCTAGTTATATTTTTAAAGTTTCAGTGGCTGAAAATAAATGTGAACCATCTGACCCATAAAAACTCTGTCCTCTATGAATGTATCTATAAACTTGAACCTGTTTATGTTTTCAGTCCAAAGTATATCTTAGAAGTTAAGGGAGGGGGAGGCATTAGTGTATCTTTGTATTTATCTTAGAACTTCAAAGGATAGCTTTTTAAAAGGAGAATGTAAATACGAAGTCCTTTTCTCACGCTATCTCCATAAGGTTGCTTCTTTGCTGCCTCAAACACTGAAGTTGCCCTTTTGATGGGATGTATAAAGCTTCTTGAGTTTAAGCATCTGGAGTGTGGCACATCTCTTTGTACATTGCCCCCAAGCCATTTCCCCCAGGCCTGCAGAATAGTTCAAAATTATTTGAACTGTGGGGTATCAGTGAGATCCTAACTTTGGTCACCATTCCAGCCCTGAGCTGAACACAACCCCAGGTCATGGCACCGGTGCAGAAAAGATGTGGTTCACTCCCGAAGGTACCCCATTGCTGTAACCACTGATGGTGGAAGCTGCCCACCCCATTGTCCCTACTTCGGTTCTGCCAGAAAGCTGATGGGTGTGCGGCAATGTCATCTCTAATTGCAAGGGCCTGGGGAAGAAAAGGCAGTGGGGGATGAGGAAATGCTGAGAATAAACTAGAACCCCTGCCACACACATCACAACCCTATGCTTTCTCAACTCCCCATTCCTCAGCCACCCTGTGGACTAGGGTGACTGAGGAATGTTAAAGTCATTTTAAAAATGCTCTTTAGACGCTGCACGTGAAGCTGTCACCAGATTGGCTCCAGCTCTGCCTACTCTTCCTTCCCTACAAAACTCAGACAATTCGAGGGCTCCTATATTCAGTGAAATCTCATAACTAATAGCATTGAGCGTCCCTGATCCTGTACACAAGGTTGAAAACTAAACATAAACTTTAAATCTACAAATGTCTTGAAGACAAAGCATCTGAAAGAATGTTTTACCTTCCACCCAGCTGTGTGGCACCTCCCAAGGTTCCCCTGCCATTGTAACAGAGGTGTCACCTCTCCTGGATAACCAACGAGGACCCAATGGCACAGGAATCTGTTTTGAACTGCTTAATAGTACACATTTTTCTCTATGATGATTTATACTACTGTGTAATCAATGTATTTAATTCTGCTTTTGGATTAAAAAAATAAAACAGTCCTCAACAACCCAAGTGAGTTTTTTAGCCAAAAAAAAGGAAATCAAAGTGTATGTAACTGTACTTCTATGTTACTGATAATTTTATAATGTTATATAATATGCTTCCCCCATTAAGTACTGAGTATATGTAAAGGTTTCAAAGAAGGATGTTTGGTAAATAATAATAATAATAGATACCATGTGATTGGCACTGGGCTAAGTGGTTGACATCCACGATCTCACCTAGTCCTCTAAATGACCCCATGAGACAGATTATTGCTAAATCCGTCCCCTCAGAAACTCGATGAAAAGGTATTATCACCTTCTTTCATTGATGAGGAACACTGAGTGGTAGGGTAACTTGTTCATTCATAGCAAAGCCAGGATTTCAACCTATATGTGACCTCAAAATCTCCTAGTGTTTTATCACGGCCAAGTACACAGTACACCCTCCACATGTCCCTGATCGACAGCACTCGGCACAGTAAAACCTTAAAGTAAAAATCTCCAATCACTACATATTAGAAAGAAAAAAATAGACTTTAACACACGTAACTAACCTGATATAAGGAATTTAGTTTAAAAAATATAAAGCAAGTAAAAAGTGTCCTATTTTAAGGTATACATTTAGCTCATTGCTTCTATGTCTTTTACATTTGCTTCAGCAATGCTAATCTTTTTTAAAATATATATTTTTATTGATATCAGAGAGGAAGGGAGAGAAAGAGAGAGAGAAACATCAGTGATGAGAGAGAATCATTGATTGGCTGCCTCCTGCAAACACCCTACTGGGGATCCAGCCGGCAACCTGGGCATGTGCCCTTGACTGGAATCAAATCTGAGACCTTCAAGTGGATGCTCTATCCACTGAGCCAAACCGACTAGGACACATGCAATGCTGTTCTTTAAGAAATAAGGTTAGCCGAAGCCGGTTTGGCTCAGTGGATAGAGCGTCGGTCTGAGGACTGAAGGGTCCCAGGTTTGATTCCGGTCAAGGGCATGTACACTGGTTTCGGGCACATCCCCAGTTGGGGGTGTGTGGGAGGCAGCTGGTCGATGTTTCTCTCTCATCGATGTTTCTAGCTCTCTATCCTTCTCCCTTCCTCTCTTTGAAAAAATTCAATAAAATATATTTTTAAAAAATAAAAGGTTAACGATAAAAACTCAGTATCATAAGTCATCAAAGTTGAAAAAATTATATTTATACAATAACATTTTAGAAAGCTTTCAACTTCAAGATTTGTAAGAAAATGTTTTCTGCTTAAATTTCAATTAGCTATAACATTAACCTTAGCATCACTCTCCCTCTGTGCTTAATTCTGATCATGAAAATGCTTGCTATGTTTTTTAATCCTTGCCTGAAGTCAGTCGATTGCCCTTCTGTATGCTCCCCAATTGGGGATCAAACCCACAACCCAAGTATGTACTTTGACAGGGAATTAAACCAGCACCCTTTTGGTACATGGGACGATGTTCACCATTCGGGCCAGGGTGAAATTACTTTTTCTTCCAGAAGGATTGGTAGAGAGTAATAAATGACTGGTTAAAAAATAAGTGTTGTCCAGCTAGTATGGCTCAGTGGGTTGGGTGTTGTCCCATGCACCAAGAGGTCATCCACCAGTTCAATTCCCAGTCAGGGCACATGCCCGGTTTTGAGCTCTTTCCCCAGGAATGGGTGTGCAGGAGGCAGCCGATCGATGTTTTCCTCTCATCAATGTTTCTCCCTCTCCCTCTCCCTTTCTCTCTAAAAATCAATAAAAACATATTTGAAAATATAAAAAATAGGTATTACCAAATGGTATTTATTATATTATTTGCACTTTGGTTCTTATTACAAAGCCAATTAGGTAAGGGGCAAGTATGCAAGCAGTTAAATGCCCAGTGATGGATTAGAAAGGCTGTTCCAATTATTAGAATGTATAAATCCTTGGCAGATTTTTTTCCCCTATGCCTTAGTAAATTTTAGGCACACTGCCTGAAACTATTCTTTTTATTATGCTCAGACTCTCCAGAGAAATAGATAATATGTTAAGCCATAAATGACATTCATGATCTTACCTGTTGGTTGTCAAGATTCATTAGTGTAAGGCTGCATGTTGAGATGGTCAGTTTTATATTCATCCCCGAAAACTGAAGATTACTTTTGCCAAGAACTGTTGATAGGAATTTAACTGGAGGCTTTAAAAAGAACAAAACACAAAGTTATGAATTCTGTTACAGAATGAATGTTTGATTCTTTTAATGTTAAAAATGGATCGAAGCCCATAGTCTTCTTTATTTTACCCTATATAAATCAAATTAAATGAAATGATTTTAAAAAAAAAAACTTTTTAAAAACTGGAATGCACCCTGGCTGTTGTGGCGCAGTTGGTTGGGGTGTCGTTCTGCACACCGAAAGGTAGAAGGTTCAATTCCCAGAAGGGCACATACCCAGGTTGCAGGTTTGATCCCGGGTTAGGGTGCCTATGGGAGGCAACAAATTGATGTTTCTCTCTCTCATCCATGTATCTCTCCCTTTCCCTCTCCCTCTCTCTCTCCCCCTCCCCCTCTACCGTCCCTCCCCCACTCCCCCTCTACCGCCCTCTCCCTCTCTCCCTTCTTCTCTCTCTAAAATCTATAAGCCAAGCTGGTGTGGCTCATTGGTTGAGTGCCCACCTATGAACCAGAAGGTCACGGTTTTATTCCCAGTTAGGGCACATGCCTGGGTTGCAGGCTCAATCCTGAGTGGGGGGCATGCAGGAGGCAGGCAATGAATAATTCTCTCTCATCACTGATGTTTATCTCTTTCTCCCTCCCTCTCTCCTTCTTCTCTGAAATCAGTGATATATATTTAAATCAATAAAATATCCTCAAGTGAGGATTTTTAAAATGGAATGCAGCAGTTAAATCTTAGCCCTCAGAACTTTTCTCACACATTCCTTTCTCCCCAAGTATTTAGAGTAGAGGTCTGGTTTATATAAAAGGAATTCCTGTGAGTTTGGACTAGCTGAACTCGCAAGTCCTTTTGAACATCACAAGTATTAAAAATATAAAAAGTTACTAAGTTTTTTTTATGATGATGAAGAATATGAAAAACAGTATAGCAAAACTTATGGGATGCAGCATTTCTTAAGGAGAGCATTTATAGCTATAAATACATTTAAAAAAGAAGAAAGGCCTCAAATCAACAACCTAGCTTTACAACTTAAAGAACTAGAAATAAAAAAATAAACTAAGCTCAAAACTAGTAGAATGGAGGAAAAAATGAAGATGAGAGCACAAATAAGTGACATAGAGATTAGAAAAACAAAAGAGAAAAACAACAAAACCAAAAGTTGATTCTTCAAGAAGATCAAAATTGACAAAACTTTAGTTAGATAAGCCAAGAAAAAGAGAAGACTCCTGTTTTTAAGATCAGAAATGGAAGTGGGGACATTACTACTGATTCAATAGAAATAGAAATAAAAGGACTGTAAGAGTACTATATACAATTGAATGCCAACAAATTGGATTACCTAGATAAGATAGATAAATTTCTAGAAACATTAGACCTACCAAGACTAATCCTGAACAAACAGAAAATATGGATAGATCTACAACTAGATCTGATAGATCTAAATCAGAAACAAAACACAAAATATACACACACAGAATATAACAAATTTTGACAAGGATATGGAGAAAATTAAACCCCGTGTATTATTAGTGGGAATGAAAAATGATACAAACACTATAGAAAACAATATGACAGTTCCTCAAAAAAATTAAAAATGGAATTATTGTATGATTCAGCAATCCTGCTTTTTTTTTAAATATATTTTATTGATTTTTTTTTTTTACAGAGAGGAAAGGAGAGGGATAGAGAGCTAGAAACATCGATGAGAGAGAAACATCGACCAGCTGTCTCCTGTACACCCCCCACTGGAGACATGCATGCAACCAATGTACATGCCCTTGACCGGAATCTAACCTGGGACCCTTCAGTCCGCAGGCCGACACTCTATCCACTGAGCCAAACCGATTTTGGCAATCCCACTTCTTGATATATATCCCCCAAAAATGAAAGCAGAGATTTGACCAGGTTTTTGGAGTTCCATGTTCATAGGTAAAATGTGAAAGCAATCCAAGTGTCCACTGACAAATAAATGAATAAGCAAAAAACATTATACACACACACACACACACACACACACACACACACTCATACAATGGGATATTATTCAGCCTTAAAAAGTAAGAAATTATGATACATGCTATAACATGGATGAACTTTGAGTATATTATGCTCAGTGAAAGACTAATACCTTATGGATTCCACTTAAATGAAGTACTTAGAGTAGTCCAAATAAAGGTGATAGAAAGTATGATGGTGGATGAAATGTGATTTTCTTTATTCCCATAAAGCTGAAGAAGCCAGGTCTTAAGATTCCATCTTTAAATATTTGTGATGTTCAAAAGGACTTGAGAGTTTCACTCACATACACACACACACACACACACACACACACACACACACACACACTAGAATGGAGAAAGGAATGGGAAATTATTGTTTAATGGGTAATTGAGTTTTGGTTTTTAGCAGATGAAAAGAGTTGTGGAGATGAATGGTGGTAATGATTGCACAACACGAATGTACTTAATATCACTAAACGGTACACTTAAAATGGTTAATAGGTAAACTTGATATTAAGTATATTTTACCACAATTTTTTAAGTTGGGGAGGGGGAGAGTATAAAAAATATAAAATGCTTAGTAGGGTCCCAGGCATGTATTAAGTATTCAATAAGTGCTAGCTATCAAAGGAAATTAATTCAAATTTTTCCTTTTTTATTAAAGGGGTAGTTTCTGGAATAACAATAGCCTGGTTTGTATTGTTTTGGGGAATGGACTCCCTACTCCTTAAATGAGAAAGCCTTAAATGAATGGGCCTGTTCGTTGGATCATCCAGTTGAAGCATCCTATTCACAGAGGTTCTGAGAAGTAGGAGGATGCTGGCGGCTACTATGAGGCCATGGGTTCCGTCAAAGAAACTAGTAATCAGGGTTTCTAATAGAATCCAAAGCCACATATTACATTTTCCAAACCATGGGGCTCATCTGAGTCATTCTGGGTTACACCGGTTCGGCTCTATGCAAAATGATGAGGAATGGTAACAAGTGGGGCAGGGTGGTGTGGAAATGGAGCTCTAAGATGGGGATCTGAAGACCTGGCTTCTCTAGCCAGCTCTGATCTTCAGGGTCCTAGGGACTCAAGACAAATCTCTTCTCTGAGCCACAGGTTAGTAACTGGCAAAAAGAAAGAGTTAGCCTGGAAGATACCTAAAAATCCCTTCCCTCTTAAACACCTTCCATTTCTAAGATTTAACAGTTATCTTCAGAGCCTTTATGTCCCCTTTGGGCTTTTCAAAACAAATGAACATCCTAGAGTTAATAGCTTAATAACAATAATACTAGTTACCATCATTGTTGAAAGTCTAATAGTGTCAGACACGGTGTTAGGCACTCTGTGGACATCATTTCATTTAATTCTTAAACAACTCCATAAAGTAAGTGCAGTTTTCTCCCATTTTACAAATGAGAAAACCAAGGATCCAAAGGTGACTTGTCCAAGATCACACAGTTGATAGTGTTTTAAAGAGAAAACCCCAGATCCAAATGGAGTCACTTGTGCTAAAGCCCATGACACTGAACCTACCCTTCTTTTTAAATATTTTTATTGATTTCAGAGAGGAAGGAAGAAGAAAAGAGAAAGAGAAGCATCTACAATGAGAATCATTGATCGGCTGCCCCCTGCACACCTCGCACCAAGGATCAAGTCCCCAACTTGGGCATGTGCCCTTGACCAGAATCGAATCTGGGACCCCTCAGTCCCACAGGTCAACACTCTATCTATCCACTGAGTCAAACCAGCCAGGGTGGAACCTACTTAATACCTGACCTAATTGCAGTTTCAACTTTTTCCAGGAATGTAATCTTACTCAATCTGGAATGTTCCAGTCAGTACCCGTGAGGTAACCTCTCACGTGGGCCCTCTACATCGAAAGACAACTGAGGCAATTTGTCTGGTAAGACCCCTGCCTTTCCCTAAGGGAAGGTAACCTGGCCTGAAACAACCTTTTTTTTTTTTTTTTCTTTTCTTTTGCTAATCGCTTCCTTGTCTGGCACAGTTCCTGCCTTTCTGTACTATATGGTACAGTTTCTGGGAGCACCTCTCGATTTAATACAGCCAATTAGATCTTCAAATTTACTCGATTGAACTATTGTTCTTTAAAAGCAGGAGGCATGCCAAAACCGGTTTGGCTCAGTGGATAGAGCATCGGTCTGTGGACTGAAGGGTCCCAGTTTGATTCCGGTCAAGGGCATGTACCTTGGTTGCAGGCACATCCCCAGTGGGGGGTGTTCAGGAGGCAGCTGTTCAATGTTTCTCTCTCGTCGATGTTTCTAACTCTCTATCCCTCTCCCTTCTTCTCTGTAAAGAATCAATAAAATATGTTTTAAAATAAATAAATAAATAGGAGTCAGAGGCAGGATTTAAATGCAAGTCTATCATCTAACACCAAAATGTGCGCTCTTTTAGCATGAAAAGTCCCTTCTCCCCATGTATTATTATCTCATCACTGCCAGCACTGTGTTTGCACTTAAAAATAGGCCAAGGAGTTTAAAAAGTCTCAAATGTTAAAAATACAGATATTAGATCATATTCAAATTGGAAGGTACCAAACTGGCCATCTGGTTCAACAACTTAACTTTACAGGAATAAGAAAGAGTCTCAGTCTGGGAGATACCACCTTCAAAGGAAGGTGAAGACCCAGGCCTGGAACCAGGATGTTCTCACTTGAATCTCAGGAGCTTTCTCTGCTCTGTCCTTCTAGGCACCACCATTTAAGATGAGTTGGGAAAATCTGAGGGGCCAGAGCGACTTTGAGTTGTATCTCTACAATCATGCCCACCAATGAAGGCCATTCGGGACCTTTAAGTCGTATGGTGGAATAACCTCACAACTCTTTTTATATCATCTTCCTCATTGATGGGGAAACATGAAAGAAGAAAACCACACCAATATTCATTTACCTTTCGCTTTTTAGTGGCTCCGTTTGCCCCGGGGACAGGTTCGCACAGACGGCTTATTGCTTCCCTGTGGAACAGAAACCATATGAAGATTTAGCGTACTGTCTAGTGCACAGTAAATGTTCGATTAATGTTAGCAAGTATTATACTACACGCGTCACGGTGAGTCTGGCATAACCAACCTTCCCCACGCCCATAGGAGAAAATAGGATTAGTACTCCCAACAACATCCTGATACTGAAAAACTGCTTTATAATAAGCAATCCTACCATTCATCTCAGCCTCGTTTTTTGTTTGTTTTTTCTTGGTTTTCAGGTTTGTTTGTTTGTTTGTGTGTGTGTGGTTTGTTGCTGTTGTTGTTGTTAATCCTCACCTAAGAATTTTTAGGGACAGTGGAAGAGGGAAAGACAGAGAGAAACATCAATGTGAGAGAAAAACATTGATTGGTTACTCCTACACGAGCCTTGACCAGGACCCGGGCCAGGGACAAGTCTGCAACCAAGGTACATGCCCTTGACTGGAATTAAACCTGGGACCCTTTGGTCCTCAAGCCAATGCTCTATCCACTGAACTGAACCAGCTAGGGCTAAGTCTGGTTTTTAGTATTATTTGATTTTTAACCAACAAGGAAGGCAAAACTTCATTGTCTGAGACTATTTCACAGTTTACCTTTCGCTTCGCCCTCTCTGTGGTGTTATGAATAAAAAGCTTCCTAGCAGCTCAGCACCAAAGACAATTAAATACAAGAGAACCTGGCACTAGAGGAGGATTGAAAGGAAAGGGAGAGACTGAACTTCACCATGGTCTCAAAGGGAGCCTTATTGACCAAGTTCCTGCTACGAGCCATTGAGCTTTCAGTAATTTCACAGAAGAAAAGAAAATCAATAGCAAATTTCCTCCTTTGCTTATTTTTCTGCCCTGACTATACACTGCACTTCCTGAGAGAAAGGCTCCACTAAAGCAAGTAGCTGGTCCTTAATGGAAGTGGTGCACACATTGGCGCCCTCCTCTCCAGAAATGCAGTTAGAACTAAGAGCTTCTGTCCCTGGGCCTCAGCACTCACAACCGCCCACGCTTTCACTCCCGTAACCTGAGCCCTCGCCATGTGGCTTTCAATACATATAGTAAACTTTTCCCAGAGCAAATGGAAATCTCTGAGCTCTTCCCCAGAGATCATGGTTCAAATTAGTAAACTATATTAACACACACAATACGGTTTTTATATCTATTATTCTATTTCATGAAACTATTTTCTCTGAGATGTTTTCAAAAGGAGGAGCAGCTAGAGAGAGGAGAGACAGAGACAGAGGTAGAGAAAGAGAGACAGAGAGCGAGAGAGGCAGAGCAATTCTAGTAGACACTTTAGACAGAAGAAGTATAAAAGAATTTCCAAAGACTCTAGACATTACTTTGGATTTATAGTGTATGTTTTAGTTCCAATTCTTTTTCTTTCTTTTTTGTTTCTGGATAAATGACTTTTTTTCTGGATTCCAATCCTTTTTTTTTTTTTCTTTTTCTTTTTCTGGATAGATAATTATTTTTTATTATTTTTTTTATATAGGGACTCTGTCATTTTAACAAAGCGCTTCTTCTCCAAGGTATTATCTTGTCTGATTTTTGCATAAATACCTGCAACCAAAAGATAGAATGGCTTTTGGGCTGAGCGTATTTTCTCAGGATTTCATATTTATTGTTTTTCTAGGATTCCAAACTTTGTCTCTGGAGTCAAACAGAAGGATAACTTACAAGTTTTGGGCCCTTTTGTTTGGTTGACTGGTGATCAATAATTAATGAGATACATATAATTGATCCAAATTGGCCTCTGGTGTTGCCAAAATAACTAGTACAGGCACCCCACTAGAGCGTTGGTATTTAATAGCGATGTATTATAAGAAAAGTATTTTCAGATCCTTTATTCCTTGGTCTACTGGAATGCTTTGGTCTAAAAAGTTCTTTGTAAATGGTTTGAAATAAAAGTAAAAACAAAGATGAGCATTGATGCTGCTGTGTATAACAATAGTAATTATTCCAACTTGTTACTTTTTACATAGGACTCTGTATTTTAGAAAGTGCTTTCCCAGACATTGGGTTGCTGTCGTTTTTTTATTCTCATACCAACTGTCAACACTGAAACAGAAATTTTTGGGGTTAAAAAACAGGTTTTAAAAAATTTTGGAAATTAAGAGAACCATGGAAGAAGCACAGGGCTGCAGAACAGCAAAAGGTACATTTCCATAGAATGAGGGAGCTGGGAACAGAACAGGGTCTATATTTTCAAAATAAAGGGAAGGGAGCCCTTCATCCAGAAGAAGAAGAAAGCCCAAAGGGAATAGGAAAACAATAAGGAAGGAGCTGGGAAGAACCTCACAGGTCCCATGTGAGGTTTGACCTTTGAGCCCAGTAGTTACTATAGTAACCAGCCTAAGGGAATAGTGACCAATCAGAGGGGATATCAAGGCACCAGGATCTGCAGCCTTTATAAGCCATAGGGAAAAGGAACTCAGTGGGACCTTTTCCCCTCCCTACATGGGATTCTGTACTTGTTCTTCAATAAGTCTCCACCTCTGTCTGTGGATTCATTATTTGCCTCCAACGGACAAAGAATTCGGGTTCCAGTCCAAAAATTCCATTGCAATACCTTCTAACAAAATGTAAAGTTGTGACTTTGAATTAAAGAAAATGCTTTATTTTTTTTTAAACCTGGATTTTAGTTTTCTTTTCCATTTTATTGAATTTATTGGGATGGCACTGGTTAACAGAATTATACAGAGAGGTGGGACAACGTTCACGCTGCCTATAGTAACAGATCTTTATTTCCCTTGCTACTCGAGTCCCACCTTAGCCTTGAACTCCTCCCTGTTTCCTTGGCAGTTCACCTCAGCCACATTGGCATAAGGATCGGTCAAAAAGAAGCCCTCATGGCCGTGGCCGGGTAGCTCACTGCATCCAGATCTTTCTTTTCAGTTTATTTGGTAGACTTGCCTGTTTCCATTTCCCAAAAGATCACGAAGAAAAGGGAATCTTGACCAGGTGCAGCTGAAAGGGCAGGGCAGGGCTAATTCCTGGGAATGAGAGGAAAGGGCGGAACTCCTGATTCTCCATTTTGTAACTGGACCCTAGCCCTCACCTAACTAATCGGGGTCAGCCAAAGCAGTGACATCACCACCCCTATAAAACCCCTTGATCTGTTGGAGCTTGTGCTATTTCACCACACCGTTGTCTGTGTGAGTGGGACAGAGCCCATGCTAGTATGGAACAGGCTTTCTGCTATTGCATCGGACTCGGCTCCCTGGTGGTCCTAGAGAGGGACAAAATCTGGGCATAACACAGCCCCCCTTTCCCATTAGAAATGCCCACTTCAGAATGCTGCACTAGGAAGCCAGGATTTTAAAGGAGCCGGTCCTATGTACATGGCCAGGCCTGGCTGGAAGCAGCCCATTCAGTCTTAGCAAAGTTGTTTTCGGGTAGGTGCTTTACCTCCATTTTACACATGAGTACGTAAACTAAAAGTCAAAGAACTTAAATACTGACTCCAAAGAATGCAGCTGATACTGGGAGAGACAATATGCAAATCCAGCTCTGAATTTAAAGCCTTCTCTCACTCAGCAGAGGGCACACTGCCAGGTGCGTGGAAAGGACAGAGTCCCAGGCTCCTGGGTCTAGAGCAGCACCTATATTGGGTGTCCTTCCCTCGCTCACTCCCCATCATATGGAGGGTTCCTTTATTTAAAAAAAATATATATATATCTTGATCAGAGAAAGAGGGGGGTGGAAGAAAACATAGATTTGTTGTTCCACTCGTTCATGCATTCATTGGTTGATTGTTGTATGTGACCTGATTGGAGATCAAACCCACAACCTTGATATAATAGGACAGTGCTTTAACCAACTGAGCTACCCAGCCAGGGCCCTGAGGTCTTCTATTTTACCAATCCATATGCCCATGTGGCTGAGGTAAACTGCCAAGGAAATCGGGCACAGGGGCAGGAGTCAACTCTGGAAACGGCTCACATGGATGCTCCCACCCTTTCCCAGCCTCTGCTTTCCATGCATTGGCTATTACCGTCGTGTGTTATTCAGAGCCTGTCCATACGCCCAAGCAGGCAAGCACACGCATGTGTGCACTGGCGCCCTCACTCAGAACTTTAAGGTCAGTTGAGGCACATGAAGTTTCACAGATTCTGAAAATTCTCTTGCCATACAACTTTGCTCAGAAGAAAAAAGAGGAAACCTGTGCTTATGAACTTGCTTTTAAGAAGTAGTTATATCATCGGCCATGTTCATAGCAATATTATTCACAGTAGCTAAACAAAGAAGCAACCCAAGTGCCGAGCCGCAGATGAATGTAAAAGCAAAATGTGATACCGTATATGGAATATTGTTCAGCCTTAAAAGGGGAGGAAATTCTGCAACATGCTACAACATGGATGAATCTTGAGGACACTGTGCTAAGTGAAATAGGGTGGTAATAAAAAGACAAATAGTACACAATTCTATTCATGTGAGGTATTTGGGATAGTCAAAATCATAAAGACAGGTATATGGATGGGGAGGGGAAAAGGAGGGAGTATTGTTTAATGGGTGTAGACTTTCAGGGTTTTTTTAAATATATTTTTATTGATTTTTTTTTACACAGAGGAAGAGAGGGACAGAGAGTTAGAAACATCAATGAGAGAGAATCATTGATCAGCTGCCTCTTGCACAACCCCCATTGGGGATGTACTCGCAATCAAGGTACATGCCCTTGACCACAATCGAACCCGGGACCTCCCAGTCTGCAGGCCGACGCTCTAGCCACTGAGCCAAACTGGTTTTGGCAAGACTTTCAGTTTTGGCCGAAACCGGTTTGGTTCAGTGGTAGAGCATCTGTCTGTGGACTGAAGGGTCCCAGGTTCGATTCCGGTCAAGGGCATGTACCTTGGTTGTGGGTGTCCAATGGGGGTGTGTGCAGGAGGCAGCTGGTCGATGTTTCTCTCTCATCGACGTTTCTAGCTCTCTATGTCTCTCCCTTCCTCTCTGTAAAAAATCAATAAAATATATTTAAAAAAAAAAAGACTTTCAGTTTTG